TCATGTTTTTCCATTGTGTATTGTTTCAAAACGAACTTTGTTCATGGCAATTCTTGTGCCATCTACCTCAGACCGCTCGCCCTCGCAGGCTTGGCAGGACGCGGTCCTTGGGCGTCCTGCCCAAAGACAAGAAGACTGCGACAAGTTTAACTGCACCAACATCTTCAGAGTACTCCAGTACACCAGCACTTACTTACCGCTCAACCACGCACCTACCATATCACACACAACAAGTAGTAATAGAAGTGGGGAAGATGCCTCCCACTTCACATATTACAGAGAGGGAGAGGGAGAGAGAGAAAGACAGGGAGGGAGAGGAGAGGAGAGGAGAGAGAGAGGGAGAGGGAGAGGGAGAGGGAGAGGGAGAGGGAGGGAGAGAGAGATAGATAGATAGAGAGAGAGAGAGAGAGAGAGAGAGAGAGAGGAGAGAGAGAGAGAGAGAGAAGAGAGAGAGAGAGAGAGAGAGAGAGAGAGAGAGAGAGAGAGAGAGAGAGAGAAAGAGCGCGGGGCAGAGAGAGGATGGAGAAAGAGAGAAAAGAGAAAGAGAGCGGAGCAAGGGATATAATATATATATATATATATATATATATATATATATATATATATATATATATATATATAGAGAGAGAGAGAGAGAGAGAGAGAGAGAGAGAGAGAGAGAGAGAGAGAGAGAGAGAGAGAGAGAGAGAGGAGAGAGAAGAGAGAGAGAGAGAGAGAGAGGGGGGAGGTAAGGAGAGAAAAAAAGAAAATGGGGTTGAGAAAGTAAGAAAGAAAGTGGTGTGAGAGGGAGCAAGAGAGACACAGAGAGAGGGGGAGAAGAAAGAGAGAGGAGGGAGGGGAAAAAAGAGAGAGGGGGGGATGAGAAAGATTCAGAGAGAAGGAGAAGAAAGTGAGAGAGGGGAAGGGGAGAAAGCGAGAAAGAAAAAGAGGGGGGAGAAAGAGCCAGAGAGAGTAAGGAGAAATTGAGAGAAAGAGAGAGAAACTCGCTTCCCTAAGGCAAAGAGCCGCCTGTGTTAAGCCGAAACAGGCGAAGACCAACTCACCCACGATGGTGTATCCGCGGTCGGCGAACTCGCTCCAGACGGGCGCGCCGTCCAACACGGCGTTCAGCGTGAACGTCGTGTCGTCGTCGCCGCGGTTGTCCGCCTCGTCGCCGTCGCCCTCGCTCTCCGCAGAGGTCCTCTTGCACTTCCTCTTCTTACAGCGCCGTTTCTTCTTCTTAGCAGCGGTCGTCTGGTCCTTCCTCTTTCTCTGCTCGCCGGGCGCGTGGCTAGCAGCGGATCCTGCTTCTCTTGCTCCTGCTCCTTCTGTTTTTCCTCCTCTAGCGTCCGATTGGGCCAGCGGCAGGAGAAGGGGGCCGGCGCGAGCGTCAGCGACGGCGCCTTCGTGCCCTCGGTGGCGCTGCTGTTGCTCGGGGACAGCAGTGCGAGAGTAGTAGTAGTCATAGTAATCGGCCACATAGAGCAAGCAGCAGAGTACGACGCATAGGATCCCCAGCAGGCTGCAGGCGCGTCGTGGGAGGTGCATGCCGCGGATGGGAGAGGAGTGAGAACCCAGGGGAAGGGAAACGCCTCACCTGGACGAGGGGCGGCAGCGCGGGGGCGGCGGCGGCGGCGACGAGCAGCGGCACATCTCACGTGCCTCGCTCACTCGGTGACCCGGCCCTCGCTACCATGCCTTCGCAATCTGGTCGGAAGAGAGACGACAGATGCACAGTTATTCGGGGAAGGAGAATATTGGGGTAAAGATTGTTAGCATCATCACTATCATTTAGGAGGAAATACATGGTTAATCCCTTTATCTAAATAATATTCAGGAGAGAAACAAGTTGTTAAAGTTACTTGTTTCCCATGTCTTAATAAGTGGATAAATAATGGACTCCTCCCAGCGTCTGTGAATGGCGGCACCTCAGCATTATCCATGATAATTCACGGTTTCCTGCACGTTTAAATGGAATATCAATTGTACAGTTGTACCAGCATCATCCCTTACCTCTAAATGTCATTGCATGTATAATAAAAATAGGTTTGAAGTACACAGGAAAATAATCTCATCTCATCTCTACTCTGTGTGTGTGTGTGTGTGTGTGTGTGTGTGTGTGTGTGTGTGTGTGTGTGTGTGTGTGTGTGTGTGTGTGTGTGTGTGTGTGTGTGTGTGTGTGTGTGTGTGTGTGTGTGTGTGCTTTCGTCTATCTGACCCCCGATCAAATCCCATGCTGCCAGGGGATGGTAACGCTAGCCGTTCCTTGCACATAGGGGGTAGCTTAGAAGCCTTTCGCACGAAGAACAAATATCATAATAAACTAAATTGTATTGATTATTTTCGTCCCACTCAGCGGGCCCCATGGGTAAGTAGCCCAAGGCGTCCCCAAAGGGGGTAAAACCTCGGATAATAAAAATCATCGTTGCAAGCAACGGTTGGGCAACCAGGGAGTATTTCGAAAACAAAATTGGGATTTTGTCTACAATCTCTCTCTCTTTTTATCCAATTTCATATCTAA